TATTTGGGACATCTACACCCTATTTTAGTAGGGCCATTTTAATTTCATTGAAATCGAAGCAAATTTTTCTGCTAACTCGTAAACGGCTTGAGCTAGGTCAAAACAGACAGCGGATTTGGCTTCGCCTCGTCTCCAACACTCTAAGACCACTGTTCGATTTACTCTGACCTGATATTTTACCTTATTTAGCGATAATAAACATCAAACTTTGCACTTTTCCCAATCAATTTTGGCACGGTAGTGGTCAGCTGTGCTTCAGGTAGTCCGCTTCCAGTCTGCTCTACGTGCGGACCAGTCCGCGATCAATCCGGTAAGGCGGGGATGCGCACCAAAAGCGGACTAGTTCCAGCCGGACTAGTCCGGCAAATAGGTCGGTTTTTGGTCGATCTGGCTTTTTTCGCGGACTAGTCCGCTCGCTTTTGGGGACTGATGACGGACTGTCCAGCCGGACTCTTTGCGGACCGAAAACGGACTGATGCCGGACTAAACTTTTTCGTACGGGTGGGACTTCCCCTCTGTTGACACCGCCACACGCGCGCTTCCCGGTGCGCCCCGCGCGCCCCGCCGCGGGCCGAAATTAAAATAAGAAACCAGAAGGCCGTGCCGGGGTGGGGCCGGGGGTGCGGGGCCGGTGATGGAAACAAAACAGCCGAACGTGTGTCCTCCCGCATTGTTAGGCGGCCAGTAACGGCGTGCGGCTGCCGATAGGCACGACGATGCTGATGAACTTCTTCCAGGGTGACTCCCCTCGAGCAGAGAGTCGGTAGACACCTGCGCGTCGTAGAGAGCGTCCTCGACTGACCCCTCTTCTTGTTCTGTTTGCAGCGAGCGTCAACGAGCGTGGCCCCGTGGGCGTGGCGGCCGGCCCCGACGGCGACATGGCCGGCTCGGGCTCCGGGTCCCCGCACTACAGCCTCCGGTGGAACAACCACCAGAGCCACATCCTGCACGCGTTCGACACCCTGCTCCAGAGCGAGGCCCTGGTGGACGTGACGCTGGTGTGCGAGGACACGCGGCGCGTGCGCGCGCACAAGGTGGTGCTGTCGGCGTGCAGGTGAGTACAGCCCCCGGGGGGAGTGTAGGCATGTCAGCGGGCGCTATGCAAAAGTGCAAACGAGCTGCCCACGCCTCGGCTTGACCGACCGACCGGCCGGACTCTGTCGAGGGGCGTCGAGGGCACTCCTGCTCCGTCAACAGATAACTCTGTAATCAGCGCGCTATAAATCACGACTTTACCTGTAAAATGTGTGTATTAACAACAGGAAGGCGTTGTTCTGGCATGACGCATACATAACGTCTGCCCCGCCATCCGCGGCGCACATTTTTACGACCGCCATTACGGAACATGTAAAAGATAATCGGCCTTCCCTCTTCCCTCTCCGAGTCCCTCTCCCTGGCCGGCTCGGCTCTCGGCTCCGGGCCGGACAGGGCCGGACTGTGGGTGATGGACGCGCTTCATGCTCTGGTGTGTGCATATGTTGCAGCCCCTTCTTCGAGAAGATCTTCGCCGAGACGCCGTGCAAGCACCCCGTCATCGTCCTCAAGGACATCCGGTCGTGGGAGCTGCAAGGCATCGTCGACTTCATGTACAAGGGCGAGATCTCGGTGGTGGAGGAGCAGCTGTCGTCGCTCATCAAGGCGGCCGAGTCGCTGCAGGTGCGGGGGCTCAGCCACCCGGACCAGGTCCCCGCGCAGGCCCGCGGCCACCCCGGTCACCTCTCGGGCGGCCACCCTGCCCACGGCCTCGGGCGGCCGCAGTCGCCGCCGCAGGTGTGCCTAGAGAAGTTCCCCCACTACCCGGGCTCGTACCACAAGGACGACGCCATGAGCCCTCACAACGGCCCCGGCGCGTCCTCGCCGTACTCGCCGTCGCCGTCGGACAGGGACCGCGACCTCAGGCTGTCCTCGCCGCTCAGGCTGCCCACCATCCCCCACATGCCACACATATCTTTCACCGACAACCCTCCCACCCCCTCGGGCGACCACTTTTGCTCGTCACCTCTGCCTAGGAGAAAACAGGTGAGTCACGACGGGACGCCGCTATCTCGGCACCTTTCCTCTCGCCGGGCTTTCTTGACGCCGTTGTTGTGCTTGCAGGCGAGACCGCGCAGGAGGTCCGGCGAGAGCGGCGGCGCCCTGAGCGGAGCCCAGCTCGGCCCCCTCGGCGGCTCACAGCCCCAGGACCTGAGCAAGGCCACCTCCTCGCCCACCGCCGAACGCCCGGAACGCTTAGAACGCCCCGACCGTCTGGACCGCCTGGAACGACCCGACCGGATGGACAGACTCGACATGGCCGAGAACCTCTCCGTCAAGAGGAGCCGGCCGTCCAGCGTGGGGCTGACGGGCAGCGGAGAGCGGAGCGGCCACTCCTCGCGGCAGACCACCCCCGCACCCCCTACCACGCCCAACGCTGTAAGTTCTGCGCCCCTCACTGACCTCTTGATCTGTCCGGTAAACAGTCGTAGTAAACGTCGTTCTGCTCCCGATGTCCAGATGCCTCCAAACCTGAAGCACGAAAGTGAAGAATCTCAGTCGGCCGATTGTCTGGACATGTCGACTGACAGAAGAGACTTCCCCAACCACGTTCCCGACCATCCGCACCCGGGTCTCCTCGGACTCCGACCGGTAAGTCGCCCTCGCCCGCCGCGCGCCTACACGCCCACGCCTCGCAGTGCAAGGACGGACAGTAAACGCACGGTCTTTTTCCGCAGGACTCATCATTAGACAACCCTGGCTTCCCCAACATGCCTTCACTCTCGGCTCTGGCACTGACGACTCCTCAGCACGGTAAGTTGCCACTCTTTACCTTTGTACTTAGACCCACCCCAGACTGCGGTGTCCCCAGCAGGCCGCACCCGTTGCGCGGAAGTGGTCTTCCCTGTGGTCTGTGAGAGACAACTGAGTTTGATCGGTCGACCAGGCTTAGTACTAAGCGCGTTTTTCTGTCTCTTGTGTGTTGCAGTATTTCCATTGGATTCACAACTAGGTAAGTTGTCTGATTATACGCCCTTCCAGTTAAGCCTAGTCCTTACTCCAGCTGAGCAGCAGTAGCAGCAGCCTCCTTCTCCAGAAGCCCGGCGAGGAGACCGGCGACGCGGCGTGATCGTGGTGAAGACACCCATCTGACCGAGTGGTTATTCCTCGTTGTTGCAGGACTATTCCCCGGTATGGAGGCGTGCCGGAACCCGCTGCTGAACGACATGCCCAACGACAGGAACGAAAACCACCACCTTCCTGGGGGCGGGTCCAACCCCAACTCGGGTCCCGTGTCTGGATCTGGTCCCACCACCAGCAGCAAGCGTAGCAAAAGCAAATGGCAGGACGGCAAGTGTAAGTACTCACCTCTCGCTTCCGTTTTACATTCCCCATTGATTTTGTGTTTCTACATCTCTAACCGCTCTGCTCCCTCCGCAGGTCGACCCAAGGGTCAGCACTCGGCGCCGCGCGGCGGCCCGCCCCGCTCCTGGACCAACGCCGAGCTGACCGAGGCGCTGCAGCACGTGTGGAACAAGAAGATGACGACGTCGCAAGCGTCGCGCATCTTCGGCATTCCCTACAACTCGCTGCTCATGTACGTGAGGGGCAAGTACGGCAAGTCGCTCAAGCTGGAGCAGCTGCGCAAGGACTGCCAGGGCGGGCCCATGGGCCCCCTGGACCTCCTGGGGCTGCCGCAGCTCGGCCACAACAACAACCAGATCACCGCCAAGGAGCAGCACCTGGAGGACAGGCACAGGCTGGACCGGGACATTGACCGGGACGTGCCCGCCATGCCAGAGTCTGATCTCATCATGGGGCCCAACTTCAGCCCGTACTCGGGGGCCAACTTCTACCCGGACTTCAGCTCGTTCCCCATGCCGGTGAGCATGGTGCACTTGCTGCCGCAGTCCGAGAAGAACCGTCTCAACCAGGCTGGTGCCGGCCAGCTCCCACTCGCCCTCGACTTCGCCAGCTTCCGGGGGGATAAGGACCTCGACCGGGACCACGATGACCGGGACAGCGACCGCGACCGGAAGAGGGAGCGCAAGGTGGCGCAGGCGCACCAGGCGATCCTCAGGGAGCGCGAGCGGGAGCTGCAGCAGCAGCAGAGGGAGATGCTCCAACGGGAGCTGCTGCAGAGGGAACAGCAGCAGCGGCGGGAGCAGCGGGAGCAGGACCAGGGGGATCAGCAGCGAGATCAGCGGGACAGGGATCCGCCGTCCTCGCCGCGGTCCTCCCAGTCAACGCCGCAGCCCCCCGTCGCACCGGCCACCCCACCCTCGCCCACGCAGGAGAACAACAACACCAACACAGACAAGCTGATGAAGACCCAAGAGCTGTTGTCCTTCCGAGCGTGTGGTGGGGTCAGCCCTAAGGACGACCCCATGACGCCCGTGTCTACCCCTCCCCTGGCGACCCTACCCACTAAGCAAGAGCTGGTGGAGTTCAACGGCCAGGAATAGAATTGTGGGCAGGATAAGAAGTATACCAGGAAGCAACCGCCGCCACGGGACGATAGACTCAATAAGTTTGTCCCTGTCTTGATCTACTAGCATATCAGTAGTTTTTCTCTCCCCAAGTACAGTAAAGTAGAGTAGAGGTTCTCCACTCCATCAGCAGCTTGTGTCGCCCTATCAGTTCTTTGTTCGACTCGAATAGGAACATGAAATCTGCTTCTTGCTTCATACTTACTTATCCTGCACACCTGTAATGGAGTAACGGGCCGGGTCTCATGCAGGGTGCAAAGCGATCAGTGGATGTGACATTGTGTATACTAAAGGGAAATGCTGCCACATGTGCCCATGGCTTGTTCTCTTGTGATTCTAAGTCAGTGCTGACCTGTTCTTAACCATGGTGCACCAAGACATTTCTGTGACACTGTTTCTTTAGTTTTTCCTATCAAGTGAAGTACTTGTAAGTCCATTTTAATTGTAAGGTTGCCCATTGACATTGTCAGTGAATGGACCGTGGGTTATGTACATTCCTTGTTCCAATGATGTGTTTGGGTAAAAACCAAAAAATGTCTATGTGCATGGAAATCATGCTAGTACATAGTGTAAGGTGAGAACTCTAACGCTGATAGTAAATTATGATGGATGTCTCTCTGCTTCAATTTGTTTGTGTTATTTGTTAAACATCACATTGTACTGTAAGTATAGATCCATTGTTGGTCTTCTTACGCAGCTCGAATTACTCACATTTTCTATCGGTACATCTTTAATTAAATCATTATATGTGATACGTCATTGTTTTCTAATATTTATTTAGTTTGAAACTATTATCAGCTACGAAGTGGTGATCTGCATTTTGCATTCCATTGCAAATTTTCTTGTTCAATCTCCAGCTCTTTAATGGAAGCTCTGGTTTATTTTCAAATAAAAGAGGCATCTTAGCCTTCAAGGAAATTTTAATTTTTTTGTTTCTTTGCTCTGATACAACAAATTTCTAAGAAAGTTTGCATTATCTTGCCCTCTTGCTAAATACTAAGTGTTACATTCAGTAAGAGTCGATATAGTACCTGTGCTTCCTATGTTTACCACATTAAATACAGAGTGTTGAATTGGAGCATGTTATAATAGTGCTACTAGCCGTCACAGTGCTGCTCTTCTATGCTAGAGCAGCTTTACATTTGCCAATGATCTTTAGAGAAGACTGACTTCATTCTTGTTTCGTTTGAAGAAATGTTTCTTCATCACCACTTATGTTTATTACGATTAACTACTACAGTTCCTGCAGAGATTTTATACCAAATATTGCATATTCATGCGTAAGGTTTGTGTTACAATAGTTGTAAGAATTTAACCATATTTTTATCCATATTATACAGAAAACATTTGTTTTGTTATTCATCCATCTAAGAGACGAAATACACTTTGTACATCGATTTTCATTAATTTCAATAGAAGAGTGAATGGTTCTTTCTCTGATATCACCTAACAATTTTTTTTGTGGGTGTAAATGTGATCTTATTAATATTTTAAATGGTTATGTGCAGAAATTTTTCTGTGTTGTTGGATTGTAGCGTTAGGGCCCAAGGACATCTCTTAACTAATATATTTTGTAAATATTGTTTATATAGTACTCTTGCCATGTGGAATGATGTAGTAAAATTACATTAAAAATAGGCAGTTTCTGGTTTTCTGTTTGTTTCAAAGCATGCACTACTATCAATCTATTGTTCATAACGAGTAGTGCTTGCTCTATCCTTTGATATAATTCAATTAGTCATGAGACAAATGATTAAACTGTTATTGTGATGAGCATTCAAAGACAAAACATGGATAATACTACTTGAAAACAATCTAGGAGAGAAAGTGCTTTCAACTCTTGTTATATAAGAATCCTATTCAATTAATTGGAGCACAAAGTTCCACTAAAATAATTTAAAAACTTATCATCCTTGCTATTGTATAATTATTGTTATTACTAGCACTTGCATCATGTTAAATTTGGTATCCTATTTCAGTGGATGCATGATGTTCATGGACAAATTTTCTTTTGCTGGGAGTGTGTGTAGTGGCCTATAGTGCTCCATGACTAGAGTAGCGCAATTTTAAAAAGAATGATTTAAGGCCCATGACTATCTAATTGCACTACAAACTTTCATTACCATATTATTGGCTCTGAGGCAAACTTCTTACCAGTCCCGATCTCTTCTATACATACTTAATTTACAGGGTAAAATATTCATCAATGTATTCACAGTTAACAGATTATGATTGTTACTTTATATGCAGATACCCCCTACAGAGAAAAATAATACTGTTATCAGATACTAATAAGCCAGGCTCACCTGCTGTTACCTGAGTGCAGCACACAAGTCCTACATTTTATGAATCTGTGATTTCTCGAGTTTGTCATATATCAAGCTTTTTGTATGTTGGTGTTTCACATTGCTTACAAGTTATGTCCGAGTGTTTGGACCAAGATGTAAATGCGCTCATGAACCACTCCTACCCTTGTGCTGTGCTCATATCACCATTAATAAGTCCTATTTGATTACAATTTATCCATCCCAATAATTTTATGCTACAGTTCATAGTATAAGATGACAAAGAAATAATCTATTTTACTTGCCTTACCGTACAACTGTTCCTACACAATCTTCCATAGTTAAATATTTATCTTCACTTAATAATTAAAAGAAAGTCACATCACCAAACCAAAACCAACAACGTTCCCACATCTCTGTCTGGTGCAAAGCTGCTTGCAGAATGTGGAAAAAAATTAATCTGCGCATAATTTCCATACTTTTTGTGGCATAGCAAGTACATGTTACTTGCGAGATTAGATGGTTGGAAGTTTTCAGACATCTAGTGCCAATATTTGTTTTCTTTTGCTTTTAAGGAAGGTTTTCAAATTAAAGTGGTTGTGTGATTGTGTTCTGTATGACATGAATACTTCAGTTTCAATCACTTTCCTCAAAAATTAAGAAAGAGATTTGTGCATTCAGGTTTTCAAGTTGCACTTTTTTTTAAGGGTATAGTTTAAAGTTCCTTTTTATGTTTAACATTTTTTCTTGTTTTAAAATTGTAAATGTTTATTACTCTCATTGTTTCAATGTAAATTTGTTAGGTTTTGAAGTCGTTCCTCATCTTTTTGTTTTATGATTTGGTGATGGTAATTGCAAAAATTGTGTAATATGGATAGTTTAAGATGCTGCATCATTATAAGCATAACCGAAAGTGAAACTTGATTAGTACCTTCCTTTATGATACATTACCAATGATTGAAGTGAATAATTGAAATAGTAGTCTTGTTATTAATCTTGTACTATTCTGTATGTGTCAGTCAAGTATGCAAATGATCAAGATTAATTGGGTGCCCATTATGATTTGACCCGGTGAAACTCCCAATTGAGTGGTTCTACAGGTATTAAGTAGGTGCTATCATTGTAGGGTGGTGGGTGCTATTCTAGGACTTTACCTACAAATATTGGCTGTTAAATAATTGCAATAGTCTGGATGTATTACTGGTGCTATGTTGTAAGTCTGTTCTGATTGTTAATGGTTCCTATTCATTAATTATGCTTTTTAGGTAAAAGCTGTGCTGATGGTCGTTCAACGGTGCTCTTAAACTGTGATGTTACATATAGCAGTGCACCGATTTTGTTCAACTACCAGACTTTCCTGAACCACTCACTTGGTAGTCCTTAACACCCTTCAATTTTGATTTTACTGTTCAAAGTTTAGAGTATGCCCCAACAGATAAGCATCAAAGTTCATGTTGTTTTTTTTTGTTAGTTCCTCCATGTTATGCATACGCATACTCTTGTGTATATTTTGTTTATTTATTTACATTCATGATGTAAATGATATTCATTGTGAGGCTGTTTTGTAAGAGGATTTCCAGTCCTCCGGGGCTTTCCCCTTTAGATCATTTGACTGTATCTTGGGACAAAGATGTCCTTTACAAAAGTGACGCCTTGAGAGCGTTAAGTGATAATATTGCAAAGCAACACTGACTAGTTTGAATTTTGTTCTGTTTAGTTTTTCTTATTTGTTTTCTTATATGTTGGCACATAAACCATCATAATTTACAAATGTTACTTCAAAGCATTTTATGTTGTAATGTGTGATGATAGTATTTATTGAAATAAGAATACCAGTTCTTATAAAACAAGTTAAAAGCATTTTTTAGTTTATTTTCATTTTTCCAGTATCCCTCACCCATGCGAATTCGTTTCATTGGATACTCCAGCAAAGGAGTGATTTGAATTTAAACTGCATTTCCATTGAAAGTGCTTGTAGCTGACGGCCATCTCAATGCAGTCTGAGCAAAGATTCCTCACGGTTTAAGTTCCTTTACTCCAAAGTGGTTTAAGTACCACACATATCTGTGAATATTTACACTGCTTAGAATATTTATAACTTCCTCTATTTTATAACTTTTTCCACAAACTGCATCCTTTAAGTCTTGCCTCACCAAATTATAACTTGTTACTCAAAATATTTGAGTTCCTCTGAAGAACAGTTTCAAGTTTGCATTTTCAAACTAGCAAGTGTGCATTTTGAGTTGTAGTACATTTTCATTCACAGTATTTTCAAGAATGATTCTGCAGTTAAAATTGTGATTTGAAGACAACATGTTCATACTAAAATCATGCAGAATTTGGTTTCCTTCCTCTGTTTTGCTATGAGGCATTTTACAGCATAAAACTTCAGGAAAAAGAAAAAAACAACATGCAGGATCAATATTTTGCTCCAGATCACTAAAATGCCTCATTACCAACCAAGAAATCATGTCGTGTTAAGACCAGTATTCTACTGGTTATTATTTCTTGTTTGTTAATTAATGGTGCTACTATATGTATACTATGTAATATTGCCACTGAAGAAACAACCTGACTGAGACAAATTTCTTTGGCAATAATGCTTCACTCTCATGGGAAATGCCTGGAAATTGAAATTTTGCCATGCTATCAGTTGTGTGTGCCTAATTATTGTCTCCTTTTTTTTTACTTGTTGATTTTGTGAGGATACATGGTGAACCTATCACAGACCTGCAAACAGGCAGGAATGAGCTCTGGTCACTATCTATTCTTTACTCTTACGTTGTAAAATATAAAAACTTGTATGTAATATGTTTCCATTATATATCATAGAGATGTAAATAGAATGTGCAAATTGTTGAAGACATGTGTATTATATTAGAGACATAACTTTTCGTATTTTAAGGTTGGTCAAGAATTGACAGACTAGGAGTCTCAAAAAATCAGTATGCCTTGATTTTTGCGTTATTGCGTAAATTCGCATTTTGCAAAATAGTTCTGTAAATTATGTTTTTTAGAAATAGGTTTTTAACATATGTAAATAAATGAAAGATAAAGTTATTGGTAAATTACAGGACACGTTTCAATTTTTTAAAGCCCCTCTTTTCCTTAGACTGACTTATCAATACAACTGGGACAATCAGCTTCTCCCCTAATCGGGGGCGCCCCGATTGTCCGAAGCTCGTTTGTCTGAACCTAATTTATCTATTTTAGTAAATAAAATGAGTAAAGTAGTTAAT